TATTTCTAAAATTTTAAAATCCTTTTATATATATATATATTTTTTAATTATACATACTTATACATATATATTTTTTTTTAATTTATAAAAATGTACTTAGATTACATTAATGCATTATTAATCTAACGCGTCCATTAGTTTAATTTGTAAAAAGAAAGGAAGAAATTTAGCAACGATTTGCATAAAGTGGGCCGAAGAAATCTATGGTCTGTAAGTAATTGATATGATCTGGTCGAGTCGATGCTCGCCACTCTTCCATCCCCCCTCTCTCTCCTCTGCATTACGTCATTTTGCTTCATGAATTACTCTCGACATTGTCCCTTTTAATTGTCCCATGTTATAAAAAACGACCTTGACTCCAATCTTGGTTAATGACTCAGTGATTAGAGAATTCTGCGACCGATCAGCTTGTTATCGCTTTAAATTACAATTCCTAATTTTCCATAATTAATTTAATTCCCCTTTTTTAAGAGGACCACGTGTCGATTGCTTACATCTGTTTGGTGACCAGCGATGTGGATTTATATGTGCCACTATAAGAGCCGGATTTGCACATAAGCTAGGAGCCTCGCCTCATCATGAGTCTATAGCTTAGGGCCTCATTTCATTGTACCATACTTGATGGAGGGAAAGGGCCTTTTATACGTTATAGCTTAGGCACGCAACGAGTCCTGTCATTATAACAGTAAAATTTACATTTTTGCTCGTTCTTTTATCGAAAATATATTATTTAATTTCATAAAACAGTAAAATTTCTCTTTGGATCGTTTAACTTTATTTAATTTGATCTTCAATGAGCATCGAGATGGGTATGTTGAGCGCAATCAATTCAATAAGGTTTGTTATATCAATATTATCTTTGAATTAAGGTTAATGTCTACTATTAATTAAAGTTAAGATTTAATTTCTTAAAATAAAAGAATATACCTTCAAATTATTTAGTTTCTTTACTTAATTTTGCTCAATGTAATGAGTTTCTTCAATGCAGTTGGCACAGCAGTGGTCGCAGGTTCGCTCTGACCAGCGAGCTGGCCACGTGTAATTTTCCGCGTTTTTTTCACGTGCCTAACACTTAAATAGGGACCAGCTTCGCATAGAAAATCCTCCCGGAAGGCACCTCCCCTTGGCAGATCGCCCACGTGTTACGTTGCCATATCCTGTCAAACCAAATCTTTACTGCAATTAGTATCAGAGTTAGATTGCTAAGTTCAATGATGACTTGTGTATTGAATTTATTGTTTGGAAAATTACTAAATCTAACTGAATGTATTTTTGTACAGAAATATAATCCTTGATGTAGTTAAGGGAGGGGTTTTGCTTGCTAAATTCCCATGAGAAGTGGAGATCGGTTTCACTAGCCTCTCCCTAAAAAGTACTTATAAAGTATTAGCAATAATTTATTAACATAATTAATAACCATATATCATAACTAAGCACAGATTTGAGTTAGTATTCGGCACTGTAACGGTGTAGAATTCTTCGAATATTCTTAAAATCTCGCTTAAAGATATCTCGGTTACGCCCCTGTTAGTAACTGATAGTGATACAAATTAGCGATTTAAAACAAAGTTATCTCTGAAACTGCTTAAAAATCTTATTTTCTAGTTTTTATTGATTATTTATTTTGCGTTTTATTTAATTTTATTACTGCTTTAATTTAAAGATATGTAAATTTATGCTGAGAATCAATGGTTTCATATTCGATATTGTAATCTGTGTGGATAAAAATGGATCGAAATTTAACTTTACACGATTAATTTTCATTAATTTTAGTATTTTCTAGATAAAAAATTTGTCTATCTCGATTCAGAGTTGTGGCCCTCCACTATCAAATACAACAGGCCATTCTTCTTTCATGTAATAGGATGCCATCAGTAGTCGAGCGAGTGGATAGAACCACTGAACACTGTCTTGGGTTCTCGCCTGACCAATGGGTTGGCAGCATTGAGTTTTCAAGACTTTCTTCATGTGTCTAACATCTAATCTAAATAGGGCTAGTTTCTCACAGAAAATCCTCTCAGGTGAAACCTTGCATTGTATTATTTATTCCATATGCCTCACAAACAAGAGGTGAAGGACGAAGGACCTTCTTGTATGTTGACCGTCAAATAATAATGGCAATATGTATAACTGTCTTTATGGAGGCCTTACTAACGTGAGGCCCTAAGTTGTAGCTTAAATCCGGCTCGGATCTCGAAAAATTGCAGTATTTAGGGGAAAAAGTACTTATAAATCTACACAGAATTCCTTAACGCCTATTCGTTTTTAAACAATAATAAACCTATTCAAAATCAAAATAAAAACGATTTTAAGTTTATTTTTTGTGTAGCCTTAACCTTATAATTTTCCTTTAATCGTGTATAAAATAAAATTCTCCCGTAATCATATAAGTGTAGATGATATCACCTTTTCAATTTAATAATAGGCTACTACTTTTATAAAGAAAAAAAAAAAGGAGGAAAAGTCTGTCTGATTGTAGGCTTTAGACAAGTTTTTTGTCCATAAATCTTCAGTGAATAACACAAATTCCCTTTATATAAAAGCAAATTATACGTGATAAAACAATCATTTGGTTAACTTCTACCCCAATATTTACGTTAAAAATTTTATTATATTAAAATAAATAAACGAATAAATTATTATAAAACTTAATCTTTAAGATTTTTACTTTAACAAATGCGTTAATTTGAGTACCTCTCCACTAACGTTGTCATTGTGGAGTGTCACAACAACAGCAACTAACTGACCAGTAAATGGTGTCTAGATGGGAAGCTTGCGTGTTTGCGTTTGTACCTCAGCCACCTGAAAAATGTCCAAAGAACTTAGATTAATTTTCCTCCCCCAACACTGATCTAGTACGCTTACATCGCGGTGAACAGACGCTTCAAATCCCACACTTCACTCTTCCACCTCAAGTGTTATTCTGAAATGTGAATGTTAAGTGTTACTATGCTCTTTATTCACCCGTTACTTACAAATGAAATGTTCTTAATTGAGATCGTTACGAAGAAATCTCCTACTTTCTTCTTAATGGTTACGTTTTAATGGCATTAAAATGGTGAATTTGTAGATTTTACGTTTTGATATTCTTTGTTTTCTTTGTTAAAGGCAGTTAAATAATGAAAAATTAAGTATAAAAACGGAAGAAATGACTGCGAAACATCACACCTCTTCGATTTTACAAGAGGTTTTTGCTCTTTAGTTATCTTTTCTCTTTTGAGAATTGCGATTTCTCGGAAGTTACCGAATCAAATGATTGCCAACACTACTGAAAATTGAACAGTCGGCAATCCTTTAACTACTAATAAAGTAGGGACGTTGGGACCACATGAAATGAACCGCCACACGTTAGAGAAGAGAATCGATTTTAGAAAAACGATCCGCTCGCTGCGATCGTATAGATAAGAAACGGCAAACCCCCTCAAAAAATATATAAAAAACAGCAAACCCCTCTCAAAAATACAAAAAACGGCAAACCCTCTCAAAAAAAAAATATATAAGAAACGGCAATTTCCTCAAAAATACAAAAAAACAGCACGCCACAGTTTAAAAAACATATAGGGAACAGAAGATCCCTTTCGAAAATATATAAAAAACGGCAAACCCCTCAAAAATATATAAGAAACCACAATCCCACTAAAAATATTTATATAAAAACAGCAAAGCATCTTTAAAAAGTATATNCGTTTTTAATTGAAGAAATTCGTTGAAAAAAATGTGATCTAGAGTGCTTTAAACGTGAGAAACTACCAACCAATTCTGTAAATGGCGGAGTAAAGATGAAATATTTTGTTTCGCGCCGAAAATGACGCTTAGAAGTGATTCTAAACTCTTAAAATTTCATCTTAACACTATTAATTAATTAAATTTGAAGTTTTTAAGCACAAATATCCTTTAAACAAACGATTCAAAACATGAAATCTGCACAACAAAAATGGCGAAATAAAGATGCATCTTCGCACTTAAAAGTGAAGCTTTAAAAATCTTATTTAAGAGAATATTTATCACCTTAATTAATTAAATTCTGTGTTACTAAGCAAAAATAATCTTTAAACCAAAGAAAACATGATTTTTAAGACATGCCAAAACACGAGATCCGCACAAGAAACTATAAAAAAAAATGGCGGAAATGTTTCGCACCGATTTAAACGCCTATTAAACAGAATATTTACCATCTTAATTAGTTAAATTTAAAGATTTTAAGTAAAGATCTACTCTAAATTAACGTAAAAACGTAATTAATAAACGATGCATCCCGAATTTTTAACAATGAAATCTTCGCCAGGAAAAAAAACGACAAAAATGGCGAAGTAAAGAAGATGAAATCTATTATGTTTCGCACTGGAAATGACAGAAGTTGGCAAACAAATTCATCCCAAAGCTAACCCATTATTTATGCGACATCGAGGTCCACAAATTATTCATCTTTGCAATCAATGGAGCAACTCGTTCGTCGATGTACTTTGTGTAGTTGAGCGCTTCTTCCACCGACACAGACGATCATTTTCCCGCCGAAAACGCAAAAGTATATCTCTCTGATGATCGTTGAATCTTTAATATTTCGATAAATGTATGCGGGGGTTTTGAAAATGAAGTTTATCGATTGTTCAAGCCAGTCGAGAAAACAAACGAGAATCTGAAAACTTTTCCTCTTTACTGTCTGAATTAAATTATCCTTTTCGATAATTTTATGCTGTATATAGATAATTCCTATATGTTAAAATCAAAGAGCAAAGGAAAATCTCTCCTATCGTGTTGTAAAATCCCTCGTTTTAACGAATAAAAAGGGTATTGAGATCGCATCACGTATCTCCACCCCCACTACTTACAGTCGATATTAAATTATCTTTTTGTATAATTTTATATTGTATAAGAATAATTTTTAGTTTAAAACCCAACAAACATAAAATCGAGTTGAAAAATCCCTCGTTTTAACGAATAAAGAATGAGAGTCCGAGAGCTAATACAAAAAAAAACACAAGAAAAAATACAAGTGCGGTTTGTAAAAACTTTATTACCGAAAAACTTCTTAACAACAATATTTTACATCAATAAATACCACTAATAAAACACACAAAACACAACCACATAATGTACACAGTATGGCTGTAGGCCCCATCTACTATCAAAAAATTCTACACAAGATGGGTGACGCGTCACGAAATCCCTACGTAACACTACAGTCACGTCACGGACACGACAACGTTATCTAGGATGCTAGGCTACAGCGGCAAGGTAAAGGATTTTTTTTTGAGCATGGCATGAACACATTGACACTATTTATCGGGTAGCGTTTCGGTTTCGGGTTGTTTTTCAAGACCGTTCAACATGTTCTCGATGTTCTTAAGTTCGCTGGACACTGTGGTTGACAGTAAACTCTCCGAGCTATCCCCATCCGAAGCTGGCGATCCTACACACTTGACAATAGGATGTGAGCAGGGATGGACCGGGGGTGATGGAAAACCGAGAGGAAGAGCATAAGGGAAGAAACGCGACTGCTTTAATCTGGACGTTAATAGGGCCCCACTTGTATCCGAAGGTTCTATGTAGTCTGTAGTATGAGCAAGAAATGGATGACTAGATGGAAGTCCTAAATGTGGGTTTAGGAGAAAGTTCTGACTCATGTTGTAGGTGAGCGGTGTGGAATTCGGATTAAAAAACGGCGCCCCCTGCAAGAAGTGACCGTTGTAGAAAGACGGTGGATAGATATACGACTGTCTCATCAAGGGATTCATCAGTTGTAGTTTAGGATCCCTGCTGACTTGAAGAGGTGACTGGGGTTTGTCGGTGGGTTGAGGACTCTGACGAGTCTCCGCGTCTCCTCCGTTATCTGGAAAAAATATAAAAAAATAAAGTTATACATTATCAGAGGTGGGGTCTTTAATTATCCATACTTCTGATACGATATAATTGCAAAAACCACCTGTTCTATTAGTATTTTCAGCTATATCGACCACAAGATCCAATCTGTCTTCGTCATCACTGTACTCCTTCCTGGGGTCTTGCTTCGTCGATATCTGTTGTTGACTCAACATTTGGCGCCTGAGAATAAATAAACTGACTCTTAAGCACAGAATTAACCCCTTTAGTATTCAACAAAGTATTATGACTAAGCTTAAACAGATGGCAGAAAGCTGTCCTTCCATGTCATTCAACGCCTAGAACGATAGCGTGATTTTGCTAATCTATCGATCATGGCGCAGTTGCCATCTCTGTACTACAAACTTTTCTTTTGACTGATTCTCGGCGTGTATGGAATCTAATTTAGTGCCCTATCAACTCGATTTATTGGACTTTTTTTCCCGAGCACTCTAATAGCTTGAGAGAGGAATGCCACCACCGCAATGTGATTGGTCTCTCTACTGTTTAAGCTGGAGATATATATTTATATATATATGAAGATAGGCGCTTTCAGATTAAAAAGAAGAAGAATTATGTTCCGAAGCCTAAACGCGAATTTAATGAAAAGAAACGCGAAGTAATCTTTGTTTTTCTGTGTATAACCCGCACTCGAAATGTAAAATATCAACAGTTTTGATAGACGAAATTTATTTAAAAGCAGTAAATGGAGCGTGTCGACGGCTTTCTGTTTATATTTTTAACGTTTAAGAAGTGAAATTTTAAAATTTTATCAGGTAAATTCGAGGTTAAAAGTGCAAAAGTGCAATCTAATGATGTTCTGACTTTAAACTAAGATTTTTTCGGGTCGAGGCAGGTGTTGGTTGTTTATCGTCCAATCTATCGACGTCATCGACTAGGTGATTGGGGTAATAAATAGCAGACGAGCTTCTTTAATACGTTGGTTATCGTCCTGATCGACGACCCTTCGGGGTAAAGAAACATCTTGAAGTAGATTTCAGAAACTGGAAACAAACTCCTCTCCATATAGTGACATTTAACAGCTACTCGGAATAGTAATCTTTCTTTTTTTGAAAAAAAAAATAAAACAACTTTTCACTGAATGAAAAACAATTTTCTAGTAACGATTGAGAGCTCTCAACTTCACGACTTTGTCCTTAAGAGATGTACAAGTTATCATTAAGGAAACGTCATAAACAGGACATAAAATGTAGATAGGAGCGGTGATCCAGGGCTTGATCTGTTGGGGATGCGGATACTAGATAAGCCCAATATGTGATTAAAATAGGGAAATGGGCTTTAAAGTGAGCCCTTACGAAATGATTCTAGTCTAAAAATATTTTTCTTCTTATTTTTCTTTATAATATTATTATATACAACGACCCGATTCAATTATTATTACACCAAACCTTCCGCCAGATTATTTATTGGCGATATTAAGGCTAATTTAATAATTAGAAATAAAGCAATTTGGCTAGAGGTAAGTGGTTAGGCCGCCATCTAATGATAGATTTAATAATTAAAAAATAATAATTTTTTCAAATTTAAATTTAAAATATTAATTTTCCACATAATTTCGTTTTTAATTGAAGAAATTCGTTGAAAAAAATGTGATCTAGAGTGCTTTAAACGTGAGAAACTACCAACCAATTCTGTAAATGGCGGAGTAAAGATGAAATATTTTGTTTCGCGCCGAAAATGACGCTTAGAAGTGATCTAAACTCTTAAAATTTCATCTTAACACTATTAATTAATTAAATTTGAAGTTTTTAAGCACAAATAATCCTTTAAACAAACGATTCAAAACATGAAATCTGCACAACAAAAATGGCGAAATAAAGATGCATCTTCGCACTTAAAAGTGAAGCTTTAAAAATCTTATTTAAGAGAATATTTATCACCTTAATTAATTAAATTCTGTGTTACTAAGCAAAAATAATCTTTAAACCAAAGAAAACATGATTTTTAAGACATGCCAAAACACGAGATCCGCACAAGAAACTATAAAAAAAAATGGCGGAAATGTTTCGCACCGATTTAAACGCCTATTAAACAGAATATTTACCATCTTAATTAGTTAAATTTAAAGATTTTAAGTAAAGATCTACTCTAAATTAACGTAAAAACGTAATTAATAAACGATGCATCCCGAATTTTTAACAATGAAATCTTCGCCAGGAAAAAAAACGACAAAAATGGCGAAGTAAAGAAGATGAAATCTATTATGTTTCGCACTGGAAATGACAGAAGTTGGCAAACAAATTCATCCCAAAGCTAACCCATTATTTATGCGACATCGAGGTCCACAAATTATTCATCTTTGCAATCAATGGAGCAACTCGTTCGTCGATGTACTTTGTGTAGTTGAGCGCTTCTTCCACCGACACAGACGATCATTTTCCCGCCGAAAACGCAAAAGTATATCTCTCTGATGATCGTTGAATCTTTAATATTTCGATAAATGTATGCGGGGGTTTTGAAAATGAAGTTTATCGATTGTTCAAGCCAGTCGAGAAAACAAACGAGAATCTGAAAACTTTTCCTCTTTACTGTCTGAATTAAATTATCCTTTTCGATAATTTTATGCTGTATATAGATAATTCCTATATGTTAAAATCAAAGAGCAAAGGAAAATCTCTCCTATCGTGTTGTAAAATCCCTCGTTTTAACGAATAAAAAGGGTATTGAGATCGCATCACGTATCTCCACCCCCACTACTTACAGTCGATATTAAATTATCTTTTTGTATAATTTTATATTGTATAAGAATAATTTTTAGTTTAAAACCCAACAAACATAAAATCGAGTTGAAAAATCCCTCGTTTTAACGAATAAAGAATGAGAGTCCGAGAGCTCATCACCTATCTCTACATTAAGTCGATATTACATAATATTATTAAATATAAATCTTAATTTCTCTATTATAATTGAATTCGGCGTTATAACGGGGTGTTTATTATAATTGTCAGAAATTTCGTTTTAATTCTTATATTAAAGCATTAATACTCGTATGTTGTAAGTCGATGGTGCACTTCCCCGAAAAATGGACATCAATCTTTGTACGTTTTTTGATTAATATATTCAGGGCCTGAAGGCCTGATAATATATTTAAAAACTGTTTATTTTTCCTAAAAATTCATACGACGTTGACATAAATATTGAATGAAGTTTAATTATTTATTTAGATCGTTCTTCTGATACATAAATCTCATAAAAAAATCCCGTTCGTGCCTAATTTCTCTTACATAAATTGTCGATGCTTCTATGTAAGAGGTGACGAGTGCTTTATAAGCAAGAAAATTCGCTTTTTTGAAAGGTTTAACCAATTAACTTGTAGAAATTTTGCAATTTTTTCCATTCAAAATCCATAAAGATAATAAAAATATATTAAATTTATAAAAATTTTACATATTTTTATCATACAAACTCAATGTTTTGATGTCTAATCCTACATTCAATGCATTCCGCATCGATGTTTCACTTCATTACAGTCGAACCTCAATATAACGACTTCCTATATAGCGCCACTCTTACCAAAGGTACGATTTTTCATTGCAATGTGCCATCAAATTACGTGACTTCAAACTCAAATTTCAGCTTATGCCTAAGCCTCATTGTTTTATATAATCCTTATTGTTCGAGGCCCTTCAGTTATATAGCGCCATTTTCGATTTAATGCTGACGCTATATCGATGTTTGGCTGTAGTAAATTTATAAATTGTTGTACACTTAGAACGACGTTAACAATCGGCCGCAGAAAATTCAAATTTTTATATTTACATCATAATATCTAAATTAATTAAATTATATAAAATATACTTTTTATAATTTAAAAATGCAAAATAAAAATTATTCGTTTATAACGGAAATTGCCTTGTTTGACGCGAAAAAAGGGCCTCAAACGCAACTTTTGATAAGCTTCTTAACTCAGAATTTGCGAGTTTCTGTAGATAAAATAATTAAAATATAATAAATAAACAAATGATTTAAAATATTTTTAACTTAATTTTTCATTATTAAACAATGTATAAAATGATTGATAATTTTCGTTCTAAAAAATTCCAAAATTAGAGGCCTTAAGCTGTAGTTACTCAGAAAGCTATATCGATTAATTGGGGCCTTAAGTTATATGCCTACAGCTTAGCTCTAAACTAAATCTGGGTCCTAAATTTATTCAATTTAAATATAAATTCGGCCCTAAAAAAACGATTCGGCAAGTTTCAGAATGTCGTCTGAGGTTCTTTAGCATATGCCCAAATCGTGCCTTGGTTCATCGTTATAGAATACAGTAATTTAAAGGCTTAAGAAAAACGAAAAATTCAGATTTAGCTGCTTCGTCCTCTGTAAACAAAGCTGGATTTAGACTTGTTGTGGCCCTAAACTATAACACGTAACGGGCCCTTCCATCAAATAATGAGACGTGCAAACATGTGTATAGATTCATAATGCGAGGCACTAAGTTACAGCTTATGCTCAAATTCAGCCCTACGTGTATCACAATGCCCACTTCTAATTACCATAAAGACATAGTCGTATTTAAACTAGAGGCCCTTCTTTTTCAGTTAAATAAGCTTAAATTTAAAAAAAATAGGTTCTAAACTATAAGAATAAACTTACTTCTTTTCTCTCTTTCCTGCTCCCGTATCTCTGAAACCTTTGGCAAATGGATTATTATCGATTTTTAATTGAGTAATCTACAAAAAAAATATATAAATTTTACAAATAAATTTATATAAAATTAAAGAATAAAGAAATAAATAAATAAATATATTTTACTTTTTCGTTTTGGTAAGCCGTAACTGCTATAAACACTGTTTCTTTAAAGACGTAAGTCCTGAAAGTGCTGTAGGGTAACTTTAAAATATCGTTGGCTCGAACTAGATGAAACCGTGGTTGGTATTTGTGCATCGAATTGAGGATTGTCTGTAAGAAAAACAGCATTTCTTAGAAACAGAATAAAATTCTAAAGATCTAGTATAACTTTTCAATTATTCTTCGAGAAATAAAGCCATACGAATCGTAGAAATGCCAATGGAAGATGAAACCTTTTCAACGACTCATATGGCCAATGGAGGATGTCGCTCTTCTAAGAATTAAGCTCAGTTTAGGAAGAATTAAACTCTAGCAGGGCGTCGAAAGGTTAGTATGGAGCCCGGGGAAAATGCGGGTCCTTTTTACTCCTTAGCGGACCCTTTTTCTTGTTTTTTGAACGAATGAAATATGTAAAATGTTTCTTTATTAAATACCAGCCTTAAGGATTTTGTTTATTGTTAGTAAAAATAACATTTAATTTATGGGGGTAGAACCACTACGGAGAAAAATTTCCAACTCTCCCTCGATGGCTCTAAATTTGAGATAAATTAACTGTCTGAAGCTATAGATATATTAGTCCAGTAGCTAGGGCTGGACTTAGATTTGTTGTGGCCCTAAACTATGATATATAACAGGCCCTTCTCCTCCACCAAGTGATACGTTAAAAATTTGAGGCCCTATGGTATACTCGTAAATCGAGGCCCTTAGTTTAAGTGCAAATCCGGCTATGACAGTAGCATAACATATCTTCAGGTGTAATCAGTAGCTAGTCCCTATAGGTTACGAGTCACTCCAGCTTCACTAGTTGATTGATTCGTAACTATAGCTGCATAACTTGAATTAAATTCCCTTTTCATATACAATTAACTATATGGTAGCCCAAAAAACAATTAACCGCATTTTATTTCGTGTGCATTCTAAAATACTTTAAGAAGTTGCAATTTAAGTCATTGTAATTTGTGTATTAAGCAAGAATTTTTGATAATTTTTATAAACTTTTTAAAAAATAGTGTCTGAATAAAAGAAATTTAATTTTTATAGTGATTAACTTACTTTTAGTCCACCTTAATATTCTCAATTCTAAGGGATTTTATGAGACGAGCTTGTAAAAAGAGATTTGTATTTTTTGCACAGTTAAACCTCTAAACAACGGCCACAGATGAAAACATTAAAAAATGGCCGTTGCTGATAAGTTAATTTTGTATGCATTTAAAAAAATGCGTTTCTTATAAAATGGCCGTTGTTCGGAGGTTATTCTGTATGCATTTCAAAAAAAACGTTCTTGAAAAAGTAACCGCTGTTTAGAGGTGGCCGTTATTAGAGGTTCGACTGTACGCTTTCTCATTCGATCAACTTGTCAATCATCATTGATACGGCTATATTTTCCTAAGAGTTTACTTATTATTTGTGAATAATTTTATGCGGAATATAATTAACAGAGTCTTAACGATAATTTAAATGAATAATTGAATTAAAACAAAGTTTTTAAAAATCACAAAGGAAGAAAGATTGGATTGTATATTAAATTGGTGGGATAAGGCAACGTAGTTTACATACGGGTGATCTGCAAAGTGGGGCGCCTCCCGGGAGGCCTTTCTATGGGGCTCCTATTTAGCAGTCAGACGTAAAGAAAATCCGGAAAACACTTGGTCAGGCGCGAAGTTTTTGGAATTTTATAGTTACTGATTCAATAAATCGTACAGAATTCATTTATAAAATGTTCATATTTTTATCGAAAATGTTGAAATTAAAACAATTTCATTTCATTGAATATGGAATTCTTCAAAATTCCAATATTTTCGAAGCCATTTTTCATTAATAATGTTAAAATTATGACACACCAAGCCGTATCAGAGCTTTACTTACAATATTAAAGTTTAATACATTTAAGTGCTGTACATATTAATTTCATAAAATACAAACAATTTCAGATTTTACTTTATAAAACCTAAAATTAATCTTTTGTTATTGAATTAATTCCAATATTTCACGATTCGCGGATCAATTTCGATGCTTTAGTAACATCTACAATCATTGATTGATCAGTGAAATGCCATGTTATTTTATATATAATTACAAATAAAATAACGTATATAATACCAAATAAATGCTAATTTTAAACAATGTAACTATAATTAAAGATGCATAAGACCTATAAAATGATTTTTATACCAGCAATTTGCAATCTTTAAAATGAAAGGGGCATTTTCTCGACCGAGACACTCAGAGGGCCTGATTTGCACATAAGCTAAACAAGTTAGAACTTGGCCTGGCATTATGAAGTTTATATTATGTTATATTTATTATTGTGTATAAACACAGCATTTATATACTCTAATAAACATGTATCCTATTATATTTTTAGTGTAGGATAGCAGAGGATGATTGCAATTAAAGCTGGACTTAAAGCCCTAAACTAAAACATATAATAAGCTCTTCCCCTCTACCAAATACGACTTAACACGAGGTCCTAAGCTGCGGATAGAGCCTCGCGTTAAGTCTATAGCTTAGGGCCTCCCATTTTTTACATATATCATTATTTTGTAGAGGAGAAGGGCCTTTATACGTTATAGTTTAAAGCCACAATTCTAAGTCCATCCTGACAATTATTCTTTGTATTTTTTTCCTCAGATCTAATAAATTTAAGGATTAAACTAATTGTATGCAAATTGACTGCGTCAACTATGAGAAGTTATATAATAAATCTAGGCCCAGATATAAATAGAAATATAATAAAAATAGAGTTTAATAGTATCTTATATATTCAAAATCTGAAAATTAAAATTTAAAATTCTATTATTCTCGATAGGAAAAAGTTTAAATTTATGGAAGGATCATCTCTCAAGGAATGACGAAAAGATTGTGTATTGAAGAAGTAGAAGGTAAGAGAATGAGAAATAGATGACGTAAAAGATGGATGGAGAAGGCATCGGATGAGACTTCAGACATCTTATTTACATAAATGTCAAGAAGAGGAATTCAAGAAACTACCGATAATTGAATTCTCATAGAGTAGTATCACGTGATTATTTAGCGGGTAAGATTTACTACTGCCACTGCTTTCCACCGTAAACTAAGCATGTGTAGACTTAACAGATTAGGATTAATGATACAGTCACATTTTTGTCTCCCTCCCCTCTGCCTGTAAATGTCATAGGTCAATATTGAGTTCACCATTAGAATGAGAATGTGGTTACACTAATTAAGGAAGTGTAAGCTTATAATTTTTTCTCTTCTATATCTTGCTGTAAGCCTAACCAGAGAGGCCTAGAGGCCTCGGCCCTCCTTATCTTTGTAAATAAATAAATGGAGGGAAAAAAATAAGTACAGGAAAAAGATTTGAATGTGAATAACGCGTTGTAAGAGTTTACTTTTCATCCACAACGTTCAGTAGCGCAACCATGGAGGGGCGCAGGGGCCTGCGACTTTCTTATCTTTGTAAATAAATACATTAAGAAATATTAAATAAATATCTACGGTATATACAATATTTCGGAGTTTACTCTTCATTTACAACACAAGTGGTACGGGATGAATGTATGTTTGCACGTTCTAATTCGGGTTACCTAATATCACTACTGATATATTGCTAATAAAACAGTTATATTAAGGCATTCTTAATTAAACCACTGTATAAATAGTTATAAATTATACCAATTTTCAAGCACATAATCCTTACTATTTATCTGCATCACAACATACCTTTTAATTGTTTTTAAGAGAAAATAAGAAAAGAATCTTTACTTTTTCTTCAATTAGTGATATTTCAAAATCGTTCAATTACTTAAGATTTATAGAGAAAGTCAAGAGGATGAATCCCTCTGATAAAATTGCCTAAGAAGTTTGTCAGCCTAAGGCAAAATTCAGTTAAGTGATAGCCTAGACTAAGCTATCCTCAAGCTACGTGTCTACTTCTTCCCTTCTATTTTTTCCCCTATTTATTTTTTTTTCTAACTGAAAACAGAAATTTTAGTTTAATATATGGATTAATATTTCATTTCTATATATATATACAATACTTGAAAGTTTTAAAAGCGTTCAAAAATATATTGAAATTAAACATTTATAGGTTTATATAACATTATATATATTAAAAAATAAACAATATGTAATAATAATAAATTAAGAAAATAAATCCGTATATAACTAAAACCATATATTTTTGTTTTCTTTTATTTTTATAAATAAGTAAAGAGACTACCATAGAGTCAGTCCATTGAGGATTTCTGTCAAATAAGAGATGAAGGCGAATAAAAATTTATATTTTTACTTAAAAATTCTTATTTTTTCACTTCTTTACATTAAAAGTGCCGGCGTAAGCGATGTTTAATAATAAACAAAGTTTTAATAAAACTGTAAGAACCGAATGGATCCATAAAGAAATGAAATTCAGTTTGGCTTGAGGGAGAATGATTCCTTTTAGTTTTCGGATATAAAATCAAATCGAATCTTTGAATATTTTTATTATTTTCATTATAAATTTTATAAAAATTATTGTAGAATTTTTTAAAGTATTTAAATGTTTATATCAAGATAAACTCAAATGCTCTGGGGATCCGGAATCGAATCCGGGCGAGCAACTCCTCAGGAATTTCTCATGGGCGGTCTGCATTGCCTGATTACCCACTAGACATGTGACTCGCGTGCTTAGTAGGTTTCGGAGGCCCCGAAATTGAAAAAAAAACAAAAAAATTTTACAGTTGCAATTGTATATAATAATTTTAAAATAATTCTATAGCTACATTTAAACGCTATTAGCTTATGATGTAAAATTATGTAGAAGGGCCTTCAATCTCCTTTACCCAGAAGCCACGGAGTTCTTAATCTTCCATCGAAAATCTGTCCTGGATACATAAGGCCCGTTCCTCGCTACCTAGTCGCCCCCATTATGGGCCTGGACGAACCCAAGATGGGTACGAAAAAAGAGGCCGGCTTAGTGCTCACAGGGCGGGAAGAGTAAAAGAAATCAATAATAAATGAAAATTTATAACTTTTCTTTAACGGTTTTTATTTTGTAATTTATATACAGAATTGATCTAAATTTGGAAAATTTCTTGGTTTTAAACTTTAATAAATTAATTTGAAACAATAAAGTTAATTATTTTTATCTA